ATATCTGAGGCTGTGAGCTGAGGCCCAGCCTCTCAGTTGGACCATTCTCAGGCCAGGAATCTGCAGCTGCCAGGGGTGTCCACCAGGAGGCCCCTTCATCATGCTCTGAGGCAGGCGCACTGGGTTCCCCGGTTCTGATTGGGATTCCAGGCGGGGAGGAGCAGAAGAGCCTTCCCTCTGCAGCCTGGGTCATCTGAGGCTGCCCCTCAGTCAAGGCCTGGGTCAGGAGCCTTCTCCAGCTGCCCAGGCTAAGGCCGAATGTAGAGGATTATCTCTGGCTGGGGCAAAGGTGTATGAACCCTGCCTTTTATTTTCAGATGCTTTGATATTTTGGAGGTTTGCCGACCTTGGAGGGACTGTCCCTCCCAGATCTGCGTGATTCCTAGAGACAGCAAACAACCCCGCTGACAGCGTACCTTTCACAAGCAAATCACCCAATCCAGAGCCCACACCCAGCAACTCCCCCACTGGGCTCCCACACTCAGGGGCTCTGTGCACCTGTCCTCAACACCCAGCACTGAGAACCAGACAGCCAGGGCAGCCCCTGTGCCCCAGGACCGCTAAATTACTCAGAAAAGCCAATCCCGCTCCTTGCTAGGGAAGCCACAGAGAAGCTCCTGCCCCCGTCTTCCCCCAGCCCCTCTGCCTCCTGATCTGCCCTGGGCTTCCCTGTGAGGCCTGGCACTGCCCTCTCCTCCCAGGAACTGTGGCAACTCTCTTTTCACTCCCTGATATCTCCTGACCTATGGGCCTCACCTCCCTGGAATAAGAATAAAACCCACATTTTAAATCAGACAGGGGCTGTGGACAAAAGGCTGAGGAATCCAAGTCAGATCCAGGTCTCCAGGGACTACATTAGGCCCAGAGTGGAATGGGCTGCTGCCTCAGAAAACTCACTTGCTTATTCATGATTCAGCCAGGAAGCATTTATTGAGCACCTACCATTAACTCTTTCATTCGACACACATTTACTGAGCACTCACTATGTGTCTGTGCTGTGCCAAGTTTGGGGGAAACAACAGTGGGCAGGACCAGTAACATCCAGATCTCTACCTGAATGCCGTGTGGAGACGGATGGCAAAGAAAGAAAACAGGTATCGATACAGGCTGCAGTGCGCGACGGGGAATACGAAGCAGGAGAAGAAGGGTCATCAGGGAGGGCCTCCTATCAGTTAGGGTTCTGCAGAGACGCATTAGTGATACAACTTAATATATTTACATATGTCCTATCATATAGATTGCTTTAGATCATATATATCCCATATAGATATATCATATATATGCTATTACATATATATTTATTATATCATTATATATCCTATATAGCTTTTTTTTTTAGACAGAGTCTCACTCTGTCGGCTAGGTTGGAGTGCAGTGGCATGATCTTGGCTCGCCTCCGTCTCCCGGGTTCAAGTGATTCTCCTGCCTCAGTTTCCCAAGTAACTGACTACAGACACATGCCACCACGCCCGGCTAATTTTGTATTTTTAGTAGAGCCGGGGTTTCACCATGTTGGCCAGGCTGGTCTCAAACTCCTGACCTCAGGCCTGTCTCGGCCTCCCAAAGTGCTGGGATTACAGGCGTGAGCCACCCTGCCTGACCTTTTTTTTTTTTTTTTTTTTTTTGAGAGAGAGTGAGTCTTCCCTTGTCACACAGGCTGGAGTCCAATGGCACAATCACACCTCACTGCGACCTCTAATTCCTGGACTCAGGCAATCCTCCCACCTCCATCTCCTGAGTAGCTGGGACTATAGGCACACGCCACCACACCTGGTTAATTTTTCTAATGTTTTTGTAGAGATGAGGTCTTGCTATGTTGCCCAGGCTGGCCTCAAACTCCTGGTCTCAAATAATTATCCCACTTTGGCCTCCCAAAGTGCTGGGATTACAGGTGTGGGCCACCATGCCCTACCTGTATATCTTATACATATCCTTTGATATACCTCATATTTCTTATTATACATATGGCATATGTATACTTTCATATATAAATAGATTTAATTTAAATAACTGGCTCATGCTACTGTGGCAGCTGACAAGTCCCAAATCCATAAGGCAGGCTGGTAGGCTAGAAACTCAGGCCAGAGTTGGCACTGTAACCCTGAGGCAGAGTTTCTTCCTCTCCAAGAAACTGGTTTTGCTCTTAAGACCTTCAACTGATTAGATGAGGCCCACCCACATTACAGATAATAATCGTTTACTTAAAGTCAGCTGACGTGGGCGGCATCCACGTCTATAAAGTGTCTTCTCAGCACCACCAGGACTCACTGTGTGATGGGACTGCTGGGTACTGGAGCCCAGCCAGACCAACACGTGAAACTGAGCATCACGGACCTGAGGAAGCTCAGTGTGGGTGCTGGGCCAGGACGGGAGAGGCCCTTTTGGTGGGAGTTGGCTGGGTCAGCGGTGGGACTGGACAAAAGCACAGGGTGGCTGGAGCAGAGTGAGGAGGGGAGCAGGACGGGAGATGGGAGAGGCTGCATCACACAGGGGTTTGTGAGGAGTCTGGCATTTACTCTGAGTGAGTAAAGGGGTCATTCAGACCCCACCCAGCACCCACAACCTCAAGGCCAGGCTTGGGTCAGGCCCGGGGACACAGAGACACAGGGCCCCGTGAGGATGAACCCAAAGGCCAGCACATAACCCCAAATAGTGCCTTGGACAGATGTATGGGATAGGAGACTTGTTAAAAAGTAGGTTCCTGACCTGCTTGATTCCCGCCGAATCCACATTTTCAGGAGGGTAAATATAATTTGGCTTCCGTAAGTACCCAACTGAGGAACTGGGGGGTGGAATGGTGCCGTGGACTGCAGTCCAGCTTCTGGAGTCAGACTGGGTTTTAATCCAGGAGCTGTGTGACCTTGGGCATCTGGCTGAACCTCTGCGAGTCTGTTTCCTCATCTGTAGAGTGGGGGTGATGAGAGCACCCCCTCAGAGGTGGACAAGTGACTCCATCAATGTGGCCGCTATTCCAGCCCCCTCGGGGTTCCTCTTGGGGAAACGTGGCACCCTGAGTGGGGAACTTGCCTGGGAGGCAGGAGACCAGGGATGTGAAACCCACCTGGTACCACAACATCCCCCCGAGAGGAGTCTCAATGCCCTCCACATCAGCTTGGGTTGCAGGGAAAAGAAATAGGAGGGACCTCCGAGGAGGCCTGGGCGGTTCTCTGGATCGGAGAGGGGCGATGGTGGTGGTGCGGCCTCGATCCCATCTCTGTTTCACACACTGGGGAGTCCAGGAAACCAAGACCAGGAGTCAAGTCCTGGGAAATTCAGTATGTCCATCTCTAGAAGTAGTCCAGTGTAGGCAAGGAGCACAGACCTCAGAGTCCTGGTGGACCCCAGCTCACACCCTGGCCCCTCCACTTCCATGCTGTGTGCCCTCAGGAAGCTCGCCTTGCCTCACTGAACCTCAGATTCCTTATCTGTACGATATGTACATGAATCCCTACCTCAAGGATCTTGTGAGAGTTAAATGAGCCATTTCACCTCTCCAAAGGGCCTTAGAAGGTCGTCTCCTTCCATTTTGCCACTAAAGGGTATTAAGATCTTGTGTACATATTAGCTAATAATTGTTGACCGTTGTGACACCCCATTCTCCGCAGTGCATACATATTCTCATTTATTCCCACAACAGATGCAACTAAAACAATGTCTGATCAAGTTCTCATTTATTCCCACAACAGATGCAACTAAAACAATGTCTGAGCAAGACTTGCTGCTGGAAACCACCACAATCCCACGCGGGAAGCCAGCCTGAGGATGATGCTAACTCATGAAGGGAGAGCCAGAGAATCACAGAGAACCAGAGCTATGGCTCCAATGAGGACAGCCTGGATCAAACCCACCCTGAGGCCCACTTGACGGCCAGAATTTGAAAAATGGTCCACCTTGGCCGGGCACAGTGGCTCACGCCTGTAATCCCAGCATTTTGGGAGGCTGAGGCAGGTGGATCACGAGGTCAGGAGATCAAGACCATCCTGGCTAACTCGGTGAAACCCCGTCTCTACTAAAAATACACAAAATTAGCCAGGTGTGGTGGCAGGCACCTGTAGTCCCAGATACTCGGGAGGTTGAGGCAGGAGAATGGCATGAACCCAGGAGGCAGAGCTTGCAGGGAGCTGTGATCACACCACTGCACTCCAGCCTGGGCAACAGAGCGAGACTCCATTTCAAAAAAGAAAGAAAAATGATCCACCTTTTTTATACATGTCAGAGTGGCGGTTTTTCTTACTTGCAGAATGTGCTTGCTGATATAATTTTTTTCTGTATTATTTCTTCGTGTACACCAGTGTCAAGGAGTGTGGAACAACTGGAAATGCCAGGACATTAGCAACTGGTAGTATCAAATTGTAAAATAAAAAGGATGGCCTAAAAGGCCCCAGAGAAAGTACACTTTGGGGAACACCCATGTGTAAACAGAGCTTCAATCGGCCTTAGGAAACTCACTTGAAGCTACTGATATGGTCCGTTGGTGCCTCCCCATATTCACATGTCGGAAACATGATCCCCAGTGTAACAGTATGAAGAGGGAGGACCTTTGGGAGGTCATGAGGTCAGGGCCCTTGTGACTGGGATTAGCACCCTTATAAGGGGCCTGAGGAAGTCTGCTGTTTTCAACCAAGTGAAGACACACATCAAAGCACTACCTATGAAGAACATATCCCATCAGACACCAAATCTGCCAGAGCCTTGATCTTGGACTTCCCAGCATCCAGAACCATGAGTGACAAATTTCTATTGTTTCTAAATTACCCAGTCTAAGGTCTTTTGTTACAGTAGCAGGAAGGGACTTAAGACAGTTGCCTTCACATTTAGCTGCAAAAATCACTATAAAAATAGTCTCTGCTTAGATATATATACTTATTGAATCCATGCATATTTAATCCTGAATATCAAACCTGCTGCTGTTTCTTTTCCCTCTTGCCCCTCCCACAATCACTGAAGCCGATTTTGACCAGACAACTGGCCAAAACAGAAGACTGTTTAAAATGACACAGTCTCCCTTAATTAGAAGTTTTATTTTTAAAAAATGTAACAGCACACTTTAAGAAACTTTGGCATTCAAAGCAGTAGTTACTGTTATTTGCTAACTCTGAAAAAAAAAAATTTTTTTTTCCCCTCACAAACAATCGGCAAACTCCTGCCTACTTCCTAGCTTGGTGGCTTCCAGCGCACACTGCAGGGAAATGGTGGGTGGAGGGATAGGAAAGCCCTCATGCTCCTAACCCACCGAGACAATGCAGATGGTGACAAGCTGCATCTGGACTCCAGGGTGTATCTGACAAAGGCGGAGATGCCTCCTCCCTCCCCTCCACCAGCTCCACTTTCCCATTGAAGAAACAGAGATGTGGAGGCAGGCGTGACCTGTCCAAGCTCGTAGGACAGTTACTCAGAGAGCTAGTCTGGAACCCTGATGTCTGTTACCAGCGGCCATGGCTCAGTTACAGTGAACCCTGAAATGTCCCCAGATACGTCCGACACCGAGGGGCTTGCTTTCTGAGGCTCAGTAAGGAGGGGACATGTGTGATCAGCCCCTCCACAACCCCACATTCCTGAGGTCCCCTGACCCCCAGTCCCCACCCCAGGGGAGAACTTCTCACAGCACTGCTGGCAAAGCGCGCATCCCTCTGACGTCCGTCCTGGGCACCGCCAGGGAGAGCCCTGCACGGCGGCGCTCAGGTGTGAATCCGCAGGTGGCGCGTCAGGTTCGTGTTCCGGCTGAAGGTTTTTCCGCACTCGCCGCATCGGTAGGGCTTCTCGCCCGTGTGGATCCGCTGGTGCACAGTGAGGGAGGAGTTCTTGATGAAGGACTTCCCGCACTGGCCGCACCGGTACGGCTTCTCGCCGGTGTGGATCCGCTGGTGCTCGATGAGGTAGGCGCTTTGGCTGAAGGCCTTGCCGCACTCGCCGCACACGTAGGGCTTCTCCCCGGTGTGCACGATCTGGTGCACGATGAGGGACGAGCGCCCCGTGAAGTGCTTCTTGCAGATGTAGCACTCGTAGGGCTTCTCCCCGGTGTGGATGCGCTGGTGCTGCGTGAGCGAGGAGTTCTTGCTGAAGGCCTTGCCGCACTCGCTGCACTCGAACGGCTTCACCCCGATGTGGAAGCGCTGGTGCTGGATGAGGTAGGAGCTCTGGCTGAAGGCCTTGCCGCACTCGCCGCACACGTAGGGCTTCTCGCCGGTGTGGTTCCTCTGGTGCAGGGTGAGCGAGGAGCTCTTGTTGAAGGCCTTGCCGCACTCCTTGCAGGCGTACGGCTTCTCCCCGGTGTGCGTGCGCTGGTGCTCGGTCAGGTGCATGTTCTGGCTGAAGGCTCGCCCGCACTCGGGGCACACGTACGGCTTCTCCCCGGTGTGCGTGCGCTGGTGCACGATGAGGTGCATGTTCTGGCTGAAGGCCTTGCCGCAGTCCCCGCACGCGTAGGGCTTCTCCCCCGTGTGGATCCGCTCGTGCTGGGTGAGAGAGGACGTCTTCCGGAAGGCCTTCCCGCACACGTCGCACACATACGGCTTCTCGCCCGTGTGCGTGCGCTGGTGCACAGTGAGGTTCATGCGCTGGCTGAAGGCCTTGCCGCAGTCCCCGCAGGCATAGGGCTTCTCGCCCGTGTGCACCCGCTGGTGGATGGTGAGGGACGAGCGCTCGATGAAGTGCTTCCCACAGGTGTCGCACTCAAACGGCTTTTCTCCCGTGTGGATCCTTTGGTGCTTTATCAGGGACGAGCTTCGGCTAAAGGCCTTGCCACACTCGCTGCAGTCATAGGTCTTCTTCTCCACGCAGGGCGTGGGGGGCTTACTGAGGTCCGAAATACCGGAGAAGTTCTTGTCACGCCTTATGGGTGGACAGGCCCCCTTTTCTGTGGGGTCGTCCAGCCGTGGTGGAACCAGGACACAGCTTTGGTTGGTAAATGCCTTCAGTTCATGACATCCGGGTACTGAGCCCCCCAAGAGTTTGTTCCCCTGGGGAATTCCCAGTGGCTCGCACTGGGCACCCGCATCTCCCCGCCGCCTCTCTGGCCAGCTGCCTGGTTCCCACACTCCTTCTGAGCCAGGACCCCTGGCACTGTTCCTCGTGGGTCCCCCTGTGGCCACCCCAACAACCGAGGGTTTGTCTTCCGAAATGTCCTTCTTTGGATCCAACTCTTTCATTTCAGGTCTAGTCTCCCAGTCTGAAAACAAAACAAAACAAAAACAAAAACAGAAGATGCAAATACATGTAGTTAAAGATGCTGGGAGTGAGGAAGCTCCACAGCGGGAAGGAGCAAATGAAATCGACCCCAGTGAGGCCCAAGGCACAGAGCAAGTTAGCAACGAAGAACGTTGGATCAGAGAGGGAGGGAAGTGGGAGGCATGGAACTGAGGCCAATGTGGTTTATGAGGCAGAGTCAACACAGGAGGTGAGCAGGGAGAGCAAATGTCCCTTCAGAAGAGGGATGACAGCGGCACCAGGAGCTCGGAAAGGGCACGGCTGGAGAGCAACTGTAGCAGTGAGCTGGGCTAGCAGGGAGCCAAGGGCGGGCTCTGCAAACCTGAGTAGGAATGATTGCAGCCAGCTACTGACTTGCAGGGCCTCCTCACCTCATCCCACGGACGCACAACCAGTCATGCTCCTCAAGCAACAGTTTTTATCAGAAATAATAAGATGGCCAGGCACAGTGGCTCATGCCTGTAACCCCAACACTTTGGGAGGCCGAGGCAAGGATTGCTTGAGACCAGCCTGGACAACAAAGTGAGACTCCCTCCCCCGCGGCCCCCCCGCCTCTACTAAATTTTTTTTTTTTAATTAGTCGGGCATGGTGGCACATGCCTGTTGTCCCAGCTACTTGTGAGGCTGAGGTGGGAGGATCACTTGAGCCCAGGAATTCGAGGTTGCAGTGAGCTATGATCACGTCACTGCACTCTAGCATGGGTGACAGGATGAGACCCTCTTAAAAAATAAATAAATAAATTTTGAAAAAATAAAGAAATAATAAATAACTAGCATTTATATGGCATGTGTTGGTTATTCTCTACTCCTTCGACCCACTTTCTATTCTCCACCCTTCTCTGACCTGCCCTGTACTCAGGATGCTGACTTTACCCACTGGTTTCCTGTGTGTTTGGCCGAAGGCAGGAAACTGGAAGTGAAATGAGAGAAAAATCGGGCATTTCTCCTGCCCCTTGGCCACTTCTCTGGTGTAACTGCCCCCGGGTTGCTGGCTGCGAGATCCCCTCCCCTGGCTGGGGCTCTGGCTCCTGCTAGCTCATCATGCACCTGCCCTGGCTGGCCCCAGACCTCCCGCACCCCGGCCCTCTTGTCAGCCTCAGCACTAAGAGTGTTCGTACACACAGGACTGCTCACTTGAGCCCATAATAACCACATGACCTGGGATCTCACAATTGCTTCTGCTGCTCCGTCACACCCCTCTCTGCTGCCTGGTTCTTGGGTGGCAGGCATTCCGTGGAGCTTGGGTTCAGACCCTCTTCTCTGCTCATCCACCCTGCCCTGGCTAACTACCTCCATACCCACAGCTTTAATCACCTTCCATGTGTATCCTGTTCATTTCTAAACCTCAATTTCTAGCCTAGGTGGCTCTCGGGAGTCTAGACTCTGCATCAGGGGACTCATTCCCAACATTTAAAAGTTGCTGCCGGGCGCGGTGGCTCAAGCCTGTAATCCCAGCACTTTGGGAGGCCGAGACGGGCGGATCACGAGGTCAGGAGATCGAGACCATCCTGGCTGACACGGTGAAACCCCGTCTCTACTTTAAAAACACAAAATTAGCCGGGCGAGGTGGCGGGCGCCTGTAGTCCCAGCTACTCGGGAGGCTGAGGCAGGAGAATGGCGGGAACCCGGGAGGCGGAGCTTGCCGTGAGCTGAGATCCGGCCACTGCACTCCAGCCTGGGCGGCAGAGCGAGACTCCGTTTCAAAAAAAAAAAAAAAAAAGTTGCTGTCCATGTAGCTGCCAGCTACATGAACACACATGTGAACACACAGCCACATGGAGCCTCATTCTTATGGGCGACAAGACGTTGCGTGGGGCAGCAGCTGTCCCCCTACCCTATATAAATGATCCACCTGGTAGTTCCTGAGGCCACCTGAGTTTGAGACCCCTCTCCTGAATCACACCAGACCTGCAAAGCCACACGAAGTGAGTCTGGATCTAAATGTTATCCACAGGCTGATGCTGCTCAAACATGCACCTCCAGCCCAGACCTGCTTTCTGGGCTATGTCCAAACTGTTCAAAAAAGCCCAGCATCTCAACTGGATAGCCCAAGTCTAATACATCCGATACAAAACTTGGGATTTCAGACTTTCCCCACGAAAAACATTTCTTTAAAAAAGCAAAGCCCATCAAACAGACTTAGTAAAATAAATGAGACATGGAAGGATGAATGCTACGTGATTCCACTCATCTGAGGTACCTGGAGGTCGGATTCCCAGAGACAGACGGCAGAACAGAGGATGCCGGGGGCTGAGGAGTGGGTGGGAGTTGGTGTTTAGGGGATAGGGTTTCATTTGCGGGAGATGAAAAGAGTTCTGGGGATGGATGGCGGTGATGGCTGCACAACATCATCAATGTCCTTAAGGCCACTGAACTGTACTCCTAAAAGTGGTTAAAATGCTAGATTTTATGTTCTATATATATTTTTCACAGTTTTAAATATAAAATTTAAAAAACTGTTTTAGAGAGACTTAGCAGACACCCTGACTTGCCCTTTCCCTCCCACCGTCCTGACCGTTGGCAAGCGTCGCTGTGCACAAACAGCCTGAATCAGACCAAATCTCCCGGTCCCCGCTGACAAAAGAGCTGGCTGGCCACTGTGGGCCCTTGCCAGAAATGCAACAGCAGCTCCTCTCTGTCCTCCCCACCCCATTCTCACCCCTGCAATGCGTCCTCCACTCCTCCGGGAGTGCGGTCTTCTGAGGAGTCAGATCAAGCCCTCCCGTGGCCTCCCTACTGTACTGAGAATGATGCCAGCACCTTTAGCAGCCTCAGGGCTCTCAGCACCCAGCTGGCCTGCTTGAGTCGTCCCCTGGCCACCTTCCCTCCCAAATTCTCATCACCATGCTCTCCCTCTTGTCCGTGTGTTCTTCCTGCCTCCGGGCCTCTGTACCCACTGTCCTGTGGACCTGCCGTGGACGTCCTTATCCTTCAGGCCTGTTTCCCCACAATCCCACGGGAGCCTTCCCAATCTACCCTATGGAAGGAAGGAAGGTCCTCCTGCCCACTTCTTTATGAACACTCAGTGACCTGTGGCAATTCTTCTCTGCCTATCCCTTGATCTGTTTATTATCAGCCCCCAGCAGGAGTCAGCTCCACTAGAGGCAAGGGCCTTGCTCACCCCCCAGCTCCTCACACAGCCTGCACATGGTAGGCACCAGATAAGTGAGTATGGAGCACTGGCAACACGCCTGGCACAGTGCTAAGCAATTTGCATGGACCTCTAGAGACCCTCACAATCATACTTGAGTTACGTACAGTAGTAGACAGTTATGACCATCCCCATTTTGCTGACGGGGAAACGGAGATTCCAAGAATGGAGTCAGAGATGTACTCAAGGGCACACAATACACCTGAGGCACAGCAGGATTCAAGCCCTAGCAGTGTGGCCCCTGAGCTGTGGCTCCTGAGGAGTGGCTATATTACCATGCATCACTTTTCCCATCTCAGACGAAAAGAGCTGAGAAATACTTAATGCAGGTGAACGATTATGGTTTAGAGACCCTAGTCAGGGCATGGCACAATGCCCAGATGTTGGCACAGATGGTAGTGTGGGATGTAGACTCGGCGGAAAGAAGACTGTCTCCAGGGGTGATGGTGAATTTGGTCTGGGGCCCGTGGAGTCTGAGATGCTCTGGAATATGAGCTGGCAGCGATTGGAGAGGACCAGGAGTCTTGGTTGTGAATACAGCTAGAAGTCTCCTGGAGTGAACATGACCTCGAGAAATCAGGAGAGCTGGGAGAAGAATACCAGCAGAGGGACAGGGGGAAGGAAGCCACTTCCCTTTCACAAGTTAAAACCCTGCAGTAGAGATCATCTGCAAACAGCAAACACTCAGCGCTAACCATGACAGCTGTGAAAACACAAGTCCACCCCACCCAGATTAAAACTACCCGATCACACCTTTTCTCTAATCAGGTCAGCAAAAGAACAGAAAGTCTGATGGCAAGGCCACTGTCATGGGAGACATCCCAAGCTTCTGCACAGGGCACTGTCGCCAAAAGCCGTTAATGTGCAAAATGCCATTCATTCCTTTTGATACAAGTGTAGGTGCGTTGTTTTTTCACATTGCTAAATCTCTTGTGCTTCATAGTTTTTCAGTTTTCTGTCTTTCTATGCTTGTTTCTAATTACAAAGTAATTTACACTTGTTTTTAAAACATCAAACGCCAAAATGGAACGGAGAAAATGGAAGTCTCTGTAATCTCAGCACATTGGGAGGCTGAATCAGGCAGATCACTTGGTCAGGAGTTCGAGACCAGCCTGGCCAACATGGTGAAACCCTATCTCTACTAAAAATACAAGAATTAGCTGGGTGTGGTGGCGGGCACCTGTAATCCCAGCTACTTGAGAGGCTGAGGTGCCTGTAATCCCAGCTACTTAGAAGGCTGACGCAGGAGAATTGCTTGAACCTGGGAGGCGGAGGTCACAGTGAGCTCTGATCACGCCACTGCACTCCAGCTTGGGCGACACAGCAAGACTCTTTCTCAAAAAAAAAAAAAAAGAAAAGAAAAGAAAACAGAAGTCTCCTGTAATCTTACTCACCAGAGTTAACGGTTTGGTTTGTATTTTAGACTCCCCTCCAACACATACCTTTTAAAAAATACACACAACACACCTGTACATGCACACACACATTTTTCCCCCAAATGGGGTTTTCATCCAAGATGGAGTATAAAGGATGAGATTCCCTTGAGCCTAAAACAAAATATATAAAACAATGGATGTGAAGACACTGAATATCAAGCAAGGAAGGGCAACAATCCCTGAGAGAAGAAAATCAAACAAGGTGGGTCCTACGACTGCCTCAGCTTACTGCCTGGGAAGTTTCCAGGCTCTGACAAAGGAAAGGTAAATTGAGGTACAGTCTGGCCAACTCCCCAAGTTGAGGAGATGGAGCTGAGAGACCAAGGCAGATAGAGTTCCCAGGACAGACTAGAGAGGAATGAGCTGCACACAGAGTGCTCTGAAGACCTGCAAGGAACTCCCTCCAGTATTCAGCAGATTGTTGGTCAAAACACGCAAGTCAGGAAACCACCCAACACAGGAAAAAAACCATCTGAAAGGATTTGAAAACAGTGCCCAGAGCTGACACAGGGCTGAGAAGAGTGCCTTTTCCTACCAGTCAGACTGTAAAATCTTGTCATTCGTGGGGTTTTGGGCAGAACACCCAGAATGGTCTTTAGGAGAATGTCATTCTAGACTGGGCACGAGTCATAAAAGCAAGATCTGAAAGGATGACACTGCTTGGTATTGATGCAAAGGCAGACAAACAGATGGACAGAACAGGATTCAGAATTGGACCCACACTTGTAGGGACAAGTGATTTTTGACAAAAGTGCAAAGGCAATTCATTGGAGAAAGTGGTCTTTTTAACAAATGGTGTTGGACAACTGGACATACATTTGTCCCCGCTCCCCACATACCCCAATAAACTTGGATTAATACTTTATATCATATTAAGAAATTTAAATAGATCAAAGAACAAAATGTAAAACCTGAAACTATATAACTTACAGAAGAAAACCTCTGAAGCCTTGGGATAGGCCAAGATTTCTTACAAATGACACCAAAACCAAAAAATTGATAAACTGGACTTCATTGTATTAAAAACTTCTGCTCTTCAACAAATAGCGCTGGGGCACCTGGATATTCACATGCAAAGGAATGATGCTGAGCCCCTTTCTTACATCATTCACAAAAATTAATTCAAAATGAATCAAAGACCTCAGTGAAGAGGTAAACCACTAAAACCTTAGAATAAAACACAGGAATAAATCTTCATGACTTTGGGTTAGACTGTTTAGATATAACGTCAAAAATACAGGCAACAAGAACAACAAAAAATAGATACATCAGACTACATCAAAATTAAAAACTTGAGAGTCAGAAATAATGCCATCAAGAAAGTGAAAACACAATCCACAGAATGGGAGGAAACATTTGCACAGCATATATCTGATAAAACTTGTATCAAGAATACATAATGAACTTTCAAAATTCAATAATAAAGAACCCAAAGGGGGGGAAAAAAACAGGCAAAAGACTTGAACGGATACTTTACCAAAGAGAATATACAAGCATCAAATAAGCTCATGAAAAGATTATCCGTATCAAATGAAAAGCACAGTGATGAGACCACACACCTACAAGTGTCAGTATCAAATGAAAAGCACAGTGATGAGACCACACACCTACAAGTGTCAGTATCAAATGAAAAGCGCAGTGATGAGACCACACACCTACAAGTGTCAGTATCAGATGAAAAGCACAGTGATAAGACCACACACCTACAAGGGAGGCTAAATTTAAAATATAAAGCAATTGGAATGAAGCTTGTGCACTGCTGGTGGGAACAGTCACTTTGGAAAACAGGTTGGCAGTTTCTTAAACAAGTTAAATATACATGTAGCACATGATCCAGACTTTCCACTCAACAGAAGGAAAAGCAAATGTCTACACAAAGAACTGTTCACAAATGTTCACAGCAGCTTTATTTCTAATAGCCCAGAACTGGAAATGACCCAAATGTTGATAACCAGGCGAATGGCTAAACAAATTGTGGCATATCCATACAATGGAATAATACACAGAGATAAAAATAAATGAACTATGAAACATGCAGTGACATGGGTGAATCTCAAAATAATGCCAAGTCAAATAAAAAAAAAAAGCCAGACCAAAAAAAAAAAGTACCTGTATGATTCTATGTATATAAAACTGGAGAGCATGCAAACTCAACTACAGCGACATAAAGCAGACCAGCGGATTCCTGAGATGAGGGTTGAGGAGGGGGAGAGAGAGGTAATAAAGGAGGATGAGGAAACTCTTGGGGATGATGGATAGGTGTCCTTTATCTTGATCACGGTGATGGTTTCGTGGGTATGCACCACGTCAAAATGCATCAAACTCTTCACTTTATATATGTGCGGTTGATTATAGGTCAATAATACCTCCAGAAAAGCTGTTAAAGAAATAGGACCACACTCTGATTCCAAAAGTGAGTGTTTTCACCTCACAGTATGTTGTGGGACATCTTTTCATGGCAGTGCCTACAAACAGTCCTCAGCTTTGAAGAGATGCCTGGTTTCCATCATATTGATAGGCCTTGATACGTTCAGTCAGTCTTAGGAAGCTGGGCATTTAGGTCGTTTTCCTTGATTTTTCTTCCCATGGAAAACTCTGCATACTTACGTGAGAATTTCTAAAGGACAGATCTCTAAAAACGGAATCCTTCAATATTTGATTGATAAGGCCAAGCTATCCTCCCAAAGAGCTGTTGCAACTTTATACCCCTACAATGGGAGTCCTTTTCTCTATAGCCTCATAATATAGGCTATTATTCTTTTTTGATCTTTGTGTACCTCATGGGCAAAAACTGCTGGTATCTCAATTTGTGTGTCTCCAGTAGTAAGGTTTAAAAAACTTTTATAAAGTGTAACTTTGTGTATTTCTGTATCTATGAATCACCAACTCATAAGTTTGGTCCATTCTATCATTCGCTTAGTCTTTTTCTTATTCCCAGGAGCTGCTAACATAATCATGACCCTTTGAATGTAAACACGTGAGAAATATTATTTCCCATACCATCATCTATCAACTTTATTTTTAGCTTCAAGTAGAGCAAATTTTAAAACTTTCCATGTAGTCAGATCTGTTGATCTTTTTTTTTTTTAATTTATTTGTGGTCCTGAAGTTATGGGCCAATGATGAGTAACTCAACGAAGCTGCCCCTTACCCAGTGAGACCAGGTTCCTGTAGTTCTCCAGCATGACATCCCTGTACAGGTCCTTCTGGGCAGGCTCCAGCTGCTGCCACTCCTCCTGGGTGAAGTCCACAGTCACATCCCTGAACGTCACTGACTCCTGTAAGAGGAAACCCACATCCGCTCATCGCAGGGCCCTCCTTACAGAGGCCTGGCGGAATGGCCAGCAAAGCCAAGAGGATTTAGGGGAGGCAGATGGGATGTAGCTGACGTGATTTCAATAAGATGCAGGGTTCTAAAGGGATCACTCACAGTTTTCTCTGTGTCTAGTTATATTGGGTTGGCACTCTGACAGAGAAATAAATCCCATATGAGACATTCTGGAACAGAAGGTCACAGATCTGAGAACCAGATGCAAAGGAATTGAAGGCAAAGTGAGTCTAACCCAGTGAATCAACAAATGCATCAGAAGCACAGCAGAGGCAGAGCCCCAGATGGAATCCAGGGGCACAGCTAACTTTTCTGAGCCCCTACTAAGCGCCAGGCAGCAAGCCCAGGTCTGAGATACAGACACAAAAGGTTCACGAACTAATTCCTCGTGGCACAGACAGGCAAAGACACGTAACTTGGTAAATGCAATCAATCATGAAGGTATGAACAGAGGTCTCCAGGTGCCTGAGTAATGTCAGCTATAGGGGGTGTCCAGGAAGACTCTGAGTAGTCTGTGAAGAGAACTGGTGGTTGGGTCTTTAGGGGGAGATTCTGGGTAGGGAAGAGAGTTCGGATCAAGACCCGAAGGTAAAAAGGCAGATGAGACTGCTGGGGAGTGGAGAGAAGTCCAGGCGGAAGGAGCAGCGCTTTGTGGTAGATGTCACAAGCCTGTGGACTGAAAGAACCTGGCGGAGCAGGGTGGATGGTGATGATGAGGTAGGCAACACCAGACATTATGCAGCAGCTGCTATGTGCCAGGTACTACTCTAAGTGGTTGGTATGGGCTGAGTTGAGCCCCCCCAATTCATATGTTGATGTCCCAACCTTCAAGGCCTCAAGAACATGACCTTATTTGGAAACAGGGCTGCTGCAGATGTAATTAGTTAAAATGAGGTCATCCTGGAGTGGGGGTGGGGGCCCTAATCCAACAGGACTGGTGTCCTTATCGAAAGGGGAAATTTGTTTTTTAATTTTTAAAATCTCAATAGTTTTAGGGGTACAGGTAATTTTTGGTTACAGGGATGAAACGTACAGTGGTAAAGTCTGGGATTTTAGTGCACCCATCACCTGAATAGTGTACATTATACCCAATATGTAGTTTTTCATCCCTCACCCCCCTGCCACCTTGCCCCCTTCTGAGTTTCCAAAGTCTATTATACCACTCAGTATGACTCTGTATATCCATAGCTTAGCTCCCACTCATAAGTGAGAACACACAGCATTTGGTTTTCCATTCCTGAGTTACTTAACTTAGGATAATGGCCTCTAGTTCCATCTAAGTTGCTGGAAAAGACATTATTTCATTCTTTTTTATGGCCGAGTAGTATTCCATGGTATGTGTGTGTATGTATACGTGTATGTGTATAAATGTGATATATATATGTGTGTGTGTGTATCACATTTTCTTTATTGGTTGATGGGCACTCAGGTTGACTGCAGATCTTTGCAATTGTGAATTGTGCTGCAATAAACATACACGTGCAGGTGTCTTTTTGATATAATTACTTATTTTCCTTTGGGTTGACACCAAGTAGTGAGATTGCTGGATCAAATGGTAGATCTACTTTTAGTTCCTTGAGAAACCTCCATACTGTTTTCCAAAGAAGTTGTACTAATTTACATTCCCAGCGGCAGTGTATAAGCATTCCCTTTTCACCACATCCATGCCAATCTATTGGTTCTTGACTTTTTAATAATGGTCATCCTGGCTGGGGTAAGGTGGTGTCTCACTGTGGTTTTAATTTGTATTTCAGAAAGGAAAAATGTGGACAGAGACAGACATGCACACAAGGACAAGGCTGTGTGAAGAATGGAGCTATGCTGCCACAAGCCAGGGAACTTGCCAGCAGATGGGAGAGACGCCTGGAACAGAGCCTTCCCTTGAGCCTTCAGAGGGAGTGTGGTACTGCAGATACTTTGATCACGGACTTCCAGCCTCCAGAACTGTGACAGAATAAATGTCCTTTGTTTAAGCTGCACAGTCTGTGGTACTTATTTACAGCAGCCTTGAGAAACAGATACTGTGCTTGGCACATATTGATTCATCCATTATTAACTTAAAACAGACCTACGAGGCAGGCACTAACATAATATAGTATGCCTGTTTAAAAGTGATTTTAAATGATTGTCTTTCACCCCCAAAGCCCGCCTTCCACACTCTGCACAGAGGTCTGCGGGCTTTGACTCAGCGATCCGGTGCTGTTTCTACCTTAGTAGCTACTCTCCGTTAAGCTCTGTCAATAGGGGGCACTGGAGGGAGGCTGGAAGGTGGAGATAAAGAAATAAAAAGAAAAAGAAAAAGAAAAAGAAAAAGAAACCAAGGCACAGAGAGGGTAGGTTCCTGGACCAAAGCACACAGCTAATGCGTGGGACAGCCACACTTTGAACCCCATGGGCTGTCTCCAGAGCCCGAGTCCTCATCCTTGCAGGCTGCTGCCTCTCCTGAACTACCCAGAGTGGCAGGTAATGAAAACTTGTGGTGCCCAAATGTGTATTCCTGACTCTGACCTCTGACCCCCACCCTGTCCCCACACCTGCTCCGCCCCTTGGGCTCTGCTCCAGCCCTGCCAGCCTTCCTTCTCTCTTCGAATATACCTCAGGGCACTAGCACTAGCTGTTCCCTCTGCCCAAAATGCTCTTCCTTCAGGTCTGGCCTAAGCTGGCTCCTTCTTACTCATTCTTTGGAAGGTTTGAGCAGGAAAGGGACAGAATCTAATTTAGAATGTTACAAGTGCACTCTGTATTTGCACGCCCATGTTCCTAACAGCACCATTCACAATACACAAAAGGTGGAAGCAACCCAAGTGTACAATAACAGATGAAAACATGAACAAAATGTGGTCTGTATATACAGTGAAATCAGACTTGATAGGGAAGGAAATTCTGACACATGCGACATCATGGGTGAACCTTGAGGACATTCTGCTCAGTGAAATATGCCAGTCACAAAAGGACAAATACTGCAACATTCCTCTTGAAAGGAAACACTCTGTCCAACTCAAATACTGAAATATTCCTCTCTGACACTCCTGATAGGGGAACAGACTGGAATAATGTCTATGGAGTAGCATTTAGCAAAATGTATCAAAACGAATATTCAAATTCTTTTGAACACTTTAGACTAATTCAGATATATTAACACACATGCAAAAACATATATGTTTAAGGATATTTATTACAGCATCAGATGAAGAAGTAAAAAGAGTGAACACATCCCAAATAGCCATCAGTAGAGGTTTAGTTAAATTAGGTCAGCGAATCCACCACAGTGGAATACACACAACCATAACAAAAAAAAAGGGGCAGCTCCTTAGCTGCAGATGCAGAATGATCTCCTGAATATACTGTTACATGAAAAAACAAATCAATGCCCAGAACAGTGTGTCTAGTTTGTTAACATTTCCATAAGAGGAAATAATAAGGGACATTTATACATATGTGCCTATATAGGTGCAGATTTTTTTTTTTTTTTTGATGGAGTCTTGCTCTGTCACCCAGGCTTTAGTGCAGTGGCGTGATCTCGGCTCACTGCAAGCTCCGCCTCCCGGGTTCACGCCATTCTCCTGCCTCAGCCTCCTGAGTAGCTGGGACTACAGGTGCCTGCCACCGCGCCCAGCTGATTTTTTGTATTTTTAGTAGAGACAGGGTTTCACCGTAGTCTTGATCTCCTGACCTCGTGATCCGCCTGCCTCAGACTCCCAAAGTGCTGGGATTACAGGCGTGAGCCACTGTGCCCGGCTGGTGCAGACTTTTTATGGAAGTGAATGCAAGAAACTGGTAAGAATACACAGCTGGTGAGGATGTAAAATGGTTCAGCTGCTTTGTAAAACAGTCTGGCATCTCCTCAAGTGACTAAGCACCGAGTTACCTTATGACCTAGCACTTCCATTCTTGGTAGGTACCTAGGAAAAATGAAAACAGAATGCCACACAAAAACTATACACTGACGCTCATAGCAATGTTATTTGCAATAGTCCCAAAGTGGAAACAACTCAAATGTCCATCTCCTGACGAATGGACAAATCATGTGGTTTGTCCATACGACAGCTCTGAGATACGCTGCAACATGAAGGAACCCGGAAAACATTACACCAAGTGAAAGATGCTGGACACAAAAGACCATATTGTATGCCTCATTTATATACAATGTCCAGAATAGGCAAAATCCACATTGTATGCCTCACTGCCTCGTTTATATACAATGTCCAGAATAGGCAAAATAGAATGAAGGTAGATATATGGTTGCCTAGGGGTGAGGGTGGGTTGGAGAGAAATGCGGAGTGAGTGCCAGTGGGTATGGCGTTTCTTTTTGGAGTGGTAAAATTTTTTTAAAATATTGTGGTGATGGTTGCATAACTCTGTAAATAAACTAAAAAGCACTGGATGTTAACGTGTCTACTTTATATGGGTGGATTTTATGATATGTGAATTACACCTCAATAAAGCTCTTAACCAAAATAGTATCTGGTAAGAGCAGGTGATGCTATTGGTTTCAAGATGGGGAGGGGAAGTGGGAGAATTCATTTTCCCAGTTTACTAATTTTCAAATACGTGCATTTTACCTATTGTTTTTTCAATTAAAAGGTTAATATTATACATTTTATGCCTTTAAAATGTTCAGACATTTTATTTCTGGAAATCTGTCCCAACAAGACAGTCCAAAAATTGGGCAAAGCTTCATGCACGAAGATGTCCACTCCATTTTATTTCTATGGGCAAGCCTTTGGACAACCATAACATCCATGGCATGGGATTCATTAAATAATAGCTCACCCCCATGGCCAATTATATAGCTATTTTCACTGCAAGATTATGCAGAGCTTTTCCATGTAGAGTTGCCTCTGGGTTTCCAAAACTATAAATACCATTTTATCTCAACCGCATGAAAAACAATACACAGGAAAAAGATGGAAGGAAATGTGTCAAAATGTGAACAGCAACTGTATCAGA